TTTTATTTCTGTGTTGCATGCTTGTGTCTCAGTTTAGCTAAAAGTTTAAAGTTTAGTTTAAAACTAAGGCAAGGAGGAAAACATGACCTGTGTATTTATTTTAACTCAACTTTAAGTTAAACTGCAGCAACACAAACATGCAGCACATAGAAATAAAAAGACTTGTTGGACAAAATTATAAAAATAATTCAATTTATGTATTCAAGTGACACAAATGCATGTACAAGTAAAAGGAAAAACTACGTAAAATCCATAAAAAAAACATTAAATTTTTTAAATTGTGTTGAAATATATAATTTATTGGAACTAAGCTGGAAAAATAAATATGAAGGTAACCTAAATTATGAAACATGTGGAAAAAGTTCTCCTTTCTAATTTATTTGGTGCATTTTAAATATATTTATTTATTTAAAGGTTCATTTATCTATTTCTGCTTTTATTTCTAATATGTCAGTTTGGTTCCTCCATACTGCAGAACTTGAAGAGGTAATTCAGTGACTGAATCAGGTGTGTTGGAGCAGAGAAACAAGTAAATCATGCAGGGCTGCGGCCCTCCAGGACCAGGACTGCCCATGCCTGCTTTAAATTGTTTGAAATCTGTAACAAAACATCAATGTGGTTTACTCTGAAGTGTTGAGTTCTGTCGAATGAGCAGTGTTTGTTGTCCCTCATCAGAAGATTGTAATGAAAACAACCTGGGGGGTGCTGGACCCACCAGTGGGCAACACTAGGCTGAACGTTGTCAGGCTGGTCGCGAGTCTGTTGCAGTGCAACACTCACAGTATCAACACAGAACTCATCAACCTCAACACACTGGGAGTTATACTAGTGAGTACTGCTTCTTTACAATGCTTTCTATCAAGATCTGTTTTTCATTCTAATCCAACCATGGCACCCTTTACATGACAACCAGGTCTGCAAAATATGTTTTTCTTTGCCTTTTTTTACAAATCTCTTCTGCAATATGGTGACAAAGTCTCTCTTTGAGCTGCTTTCTGGTCATTCATGAATTCATCTAAAGTCTTTGTCTGGATGGTCTCAGAGACTAAATCACACCCTGAAACTGTAATGCCAACTTATCCTTACTAGGGCTGGGTATCATGGCCAATTCTCTAGATCGATTCGATTTCGATTCATAAGGTTCTGAATCTATTAATCACGATTCGATTCATTTTTATTTGATTCAATTCGATCTGCTTTTAAATAATGAAAATGGTTCAAATGTGTTGCAAAATACAATATCACCATTTTTTTTCTCTTGAACATAAACAACAGGTTTTAAGGACAAACTTTTAAATTAAACAGTTTAATCGATCATGAGCGATTAAACGATTTTATTAGAATGTCATCTTTCACACATTTATACATGCCGGTAAAGAACAGTTTCAGTCAGATGTTTACATACTGTAGTTTGGTTTGAGTGCCTAACGAGCTGAAGGCGAAGCTTTCTTTGTTTTTGCTACCGCGTCTGAACGCAAATCTTTGCAAACAAGTCACCATGGTCTCTGTTATCTTTAAGTTCTGCTGAGAGTCGGCTGGTAACATTAGTGATTCCTTAGTTTCTTTTGCTTTGCTCCAGACAACTTGTTATCTAAAGCTAACGTTAGCACTGAACGTCAGTCGGATATAAACATACGGCAAGCCAGGAGTGACAAAACGCATTTCAGATGCGCGCACAGGATGCCATGAGGAAGAATCGATCTCATGCCCTGTGAATCGATTAAATCAATTGTTTTTACCCAGCTCTAATCCTTACGCATACTCACTGTTTCAGCTCTGTGACTACATCTTAGTGACTAATAATAATAGAAAGTTGGCTTCAGCTATCACCTCACCTCTGCTGTCTCAGAACTTAAATAAATCCACAAAGACAGAATCTCACTGAGCTCATATTAAAAACCGTTTTATTCTTTTCAACAGGATATGTATTTCAAATACATCTGGAACAACTTCCTTCATATTCAGGTGGAAATCTGCACCGCCATGATCCTAGCCATGCCTCCTGCTCCCGTAGAAAGCCAACCAGAAGAAGATCAAGGTCAAGTGAGAGAGAGCGCTCTCATCAAACATGTAAGACTGAAGCACCTGAACGGATCACCTGGTTTTGTTAAAGTCAGGTCAGATCTTTTTCATAATGTAAAAAACTGGCATCAAAATTCTTTTGCCCACAGCTGTTATTACAGATATTAAAAAAAGATATTTTTTTCCACCGAGTTTGGGAAGATTTCGTTTAAGAACTCAAGGATCATTGAAGGTGATATTTACTACACTTTCAGTTACAGCTGGGCAATAAAAATAAATAAATTCAAGATATCAAGAGTCTTTGTGAGAGATAAAAACAGCTCTACTGCAATTGTCATATATACAGATACCGACAAATTTGTAATAAGTTTGGGTAAACCAAAAGCAAGGTTGGATTTTCAGCACTTAATTGTATTTTTCGGTAGTATTTTTAATATTTTTAATTTCAGGTTATTTCAGTGAACCTATTAAGTTTTTCTTTCTTCAACGAAGCGGTAAAAATTAATTTTTGCAATTTTTTATTTATTTATTTTATTTTTTTGTTTCCCGTTCACTGAACATTTAGTTTTTCTCAGTTTCTTCAAATCCATCAGTCCCTCTCCCATCCTAAGAAACAAATAACATGAAGCGAGGGAAGTAGAAGTTGGTGAGCTTTTAGCGATCGTAAACGAACAATGCGTTTCTGGAAAAAAAAAAAAAACAGTGCTGGAACTTTAATCTGAAAGTGTTTTATATTTAACAAGGACAAGTCTGAAGAAACTCAACTTCTATACTGGAATTAGCTCAGCTTATTTTCTTTCTTTTTTTTCTTTTCTTTTTTTTTCTTAATTTTTTTATGTCATCAAAATGACTGAACCTTCTGACACCCTTTTTATTTATTTTGTAGTTTTTGTCTAAAGCAAGTGTATGTGGTGTTTCACTTCTCTTTCCCCTCAGTTTTATACAGTAAAATGAATGGGCCAAAGAATTAAGTCATTCTAAAAGATTAGTTGATATTTGAGCTCTGGGTATGTTTTTATATGTTGTATTAATACACTTTTTATAACTAAGTTGTGAAATAAAATTAAGAATATTGAAATACAGATTCATTTTTGACCATTTGTCCCTGGCAAACATTTATCACCTTTTTAATTTTCACAAAATCCACTCAGGTAAAATCACAGATAATCTTTTTATTTTGGCTATTGGACTTGTACTGTATTGTACTGTAAATGTATCGAATCCAGCAGCTCAGGAGTTTGATAGTATTGTAGTAGTTTTGGTACTTTGTTTTGGCAGATGTGCTGTGGCAGTTTTTAAATTAGTTGTATTTAATTTTCTGTATTTATCCATCAGCTCTTTCAGAAGTGCCAGTTAATCCAAAGAATCGTAGATGCCTGGGGTTCAAATGAAAAAGAACAGTAAGTATTCTTCAAAAGCCCAAATAGCTGCCTTTTCATGATAAACTTTTACAGTAAGTAACTCATAATTCTGTTGATGTTTGTGTGTTTTAGGGGAGAAGGTGGTCGGAGACGAGGCTACATGGGACACCTTACCAGAATAGCCAATTCTATAGTCCATAACAGTGAGAAGGGTCCAAATGGACCTCAGATACAGCAGCACATCTCTGGTAATACAATGTGTCACATGCAGGTTTATCCATGCCTCGTGTTCTGTTTGCTCCATTGTTTATCTCAACTTGTGTCAGTGATGAAGATTTATTTTTTTAAGATGACTGTATGTAGAAATCAAAAAGCCATTTTTACAATACAGATCTTGTGTTAGTTTACTTTCATTTCAGTGTAAAAAATTAAAATATCGATTGTTTTTTACCCGTGCACAGGCTTGCATAGACATTTTAAAAGGTTTTCTTAGAGATTTGAAAAAAATGATAAGCAACAAGGAGAACTCCATAGCATTATTTTTGTTTTTTAAGTTTTCAGTTTAAAATCCAGGCTCTAATTAAAAATGAGATGTGGTTCTCAGGTGATCTACCTGATAAAATAAAGATAGTTGTCGTTTAAAAATAAACATCAGAAAAGCAACAGTTTTGATAAAATTCTGTTTGTGTGTTTCAGAACTCCCCACAGAGGACAGAGAGAACTGGGAGGCATTTATTTCTGGGCAGCTCGCTGACACAAACAAAAGAAACACCGTCGACCTGGTGAGGAGCCCGAGAAACATCAACGCTAATGTCAGACTTGGGGTCAAAACTGTCTGTTTTCCAGCATAAAATGTCACCAGTTTGGTTAAAATAGACAAAGTTACAGAATTCTTACACAAGTTTGAATAATAATGATAATGATAATGATGATGATAATAATAATAAGACCTTTTATTCACGCAGGGTTGCTTGGTCAAAGGGATCCATGATTACTTTTAACATTAGACTTTATTTAATAAACATTTATTTTAACTGTAAAATAAAGACTGTAAAAATACTGTAGGATGTTTAGTATTGTAATTTTTTTTAAATATATTTTAACACAGATGGATTATTTACACGCAAAGCATTCTGGGTAAATGATGACATGGAAGAAGAACCTCAGCTTAGCCTGTTAGCTTTAGCGCCGATGCTATATTGCCTTAAATGTATTAGCTCAGCGCTAGCGCGACAAACTAACAAGCAGCTCTGTTGTCCTCCATCCATATTTTCAGTT